TTGTAGAGATGATGTCTCACCAAGTTGCCCAGGCGGGTCTCGAACCCGTGGGCTCAGGCAATCCACTCACCTCAGCCTCCCAAAGCGCGGGATTACAGGCTGAGCCACCGAGCCCGGCTTTTAATTTTTTTTAAAGACAAGTTCTTGCTCTGTTGCCCAGGCTGGTCTTGAACTCCTTCTGCCTTGGCCTCCCAAAGTGCTGGGATTACAGGCGTGAGCCACCATGTCCAGTCGTAGAGACTGTTTTATGTCTTCATGTCCTCAATGCCATTCAGTCCATTGTTATCCACATATTGCTGAATACTTACTATATTAGTCTACTATGTCTGTCATAAAAAAAAATACCATAGACTGGGTGGCTCAAACAATAGAAATTTATTTTCTCACAGTTCTCTGGAGACTAGAAGTTCAAGATAAAGGGGTTAGCAGGTTTGGTTCCTTCTGATGCCTCTCTTCCAGGCTTGTAGATGGCTGCTTTCTCACTGTGCCCTCTCATGATCCCTCTGTGTGCACGCATCCCTGGTATCTCTTTGTATTATGTCTAATAGGTCTAATTGCCCCTTCTTATAAAGATTGCAGTCATATTAATAATAGCCTAATGTTAACTTAATCACCTCTCTGAAAGTCCTATCTCCAAATACACACATTTGAGGGTCTGGTGGTTAGTGCTTCAACAAGTGAATTTTGGAAAGGGACACAATTCAACCCATGACATTCCATATGCCAAGTACTGTGATAAAAACCTGGCCACATAATAGAAAGTTTATTAAGTGTGCTGAGCTTCAAGAAAAACAAAAATAAAAGAACATAAAAATAAGGAGCTTTAAAGTGATGTAGGAATATGCCCGTGAATAAAGAAAGGAAATTAACAAAACTAGTCCCTATTATTATGCATAGTTTTTATTATAATTGAGTACTGACCATCTCAATTGCTCTAAAAAAATTGCACCTTATAAGCCATAAATCTTTAGGCACCAGATTCAAGTTAGTGTTACGACACTTTGAGAGTGGCCTTAGTTAAAGTTGTTTCTCATATTTGCTGAGGTGGATACTCCCAGAAGGAAAAATGAGGTGTTTCTCTCACATTAACTCAGATAGAAAAGCAGAAAGTTTTAGATTGTCCTGAGACATGTTAGCTTTGATAAACTAAAATTTTACTAGAACTATAAGAATAATACTCATTTATTCATCTAACAACTTGTGAGCAGGCTGGGTGCAATGACTCACACCTATAATCCCAGCACTTTGGGAAACCAAGGCAGGAGGATTGCTTGAGTCCAGGAGTTTGAGACCAGCCTAGGCAACATAGCAAGACCTCATCTCGACAAAAGAATCCAAAAATTAGCTGGGCGTGGTGCTGTATGCCTGTAGCCCCAGCTACTCAGGGGGCTTAGGCAGAAGGTCTAAGCCCAGAAAGTCAAGTCTCCAGTGAGCTATGATCATAGCACTGCACTGCAGCCTGGGGGGACAGAGTGAGACTCCAGCTCAAAAAACCAAAAATGTATGAGCATTTATGTATGCCAAGCTCTGAACTAAGAGGAAAAGACACATGTTCCTTGACCTTGAGGAACTCACAGTCCAGAACTGGCCCCCCTACCCTTTTTTTTTTTTTTTTT